ATCAACATGAATATATTCTGAATTAAAAATTCACAATAAATTATAAAATATCTTAAGCAGTTTAATTTAGTTTGCCAGATAAGTTCTCGAAAGTTATTTAGTCGACGTATTGAATATGAAAACAGAGAAAAATAAAAGAGAAATTTAGTAGTTAGCTTAAAATGATAATATTATACAATGCAGTAGTATTACCATTATCCACTGACTTTTGAAATTATTCAATTGCTTCTCTTATATTCTTTTGAATACCTTCTCCTAACCATAAACAATGTCTATAACATAATTAAGCATCAGCTAATCCAGTATCTGCTGCTTCTTTAAATAATGCTGCAGCTTTTGCTAAATGAACATTTTTCTTATCTTTGGTATTAGGTTCATCTATGCTAAAGCTTAAAACCTCACCTTCTATTGAGATGCTAGTATTTGATGTATGTTCATCGAGTCAAACAATACTGATGACTGAGGCAATATACTAACAATCTCTTCTTCGAAGCTAAAGATTATGTTTGTTAAGAATAGTTACTTGTGTAATGTTGCATTCTCAAAAGGTACTCTAAAACATATAAATAAGTTACCTGGGCAATTGATTTACATTAGCCAATCAGACGAATTTCTGCCTATGAACACTGAATGGCACCATTCAGCATGTCGAATTTTTTGATTTCAATCAGTGCTGGCCTTTCCAAACAATTGTTGCCCTAACTTCATTGTTTTTCAAAGTAAATTAACGAAATGTACATAGCCCTTATTGTAGATGCATACCATAATTTAAAGCTCAAAGATATCAAATTCACTTATCTAAAAAAATCATTTAAGTATAATTTTTAATGTGATTATTCATTAAATTATATGTCTCTTAAAAGATCGAAATGCATCATGCAGAACTTAAATATTCTTCTATATATAGTTATTATCTATTACTTAGCCAGTATACTGAAGGTCGAATTTAGTAACACTCCTAAAAATGGTCAAATGGCACAAAAACTGTATAGTCATTCCAAATATAGAAAACCATTATATATTAATAGTTCTCTCTTGAAGATCTAAGCTATGCCTAAATAAGTCGTAAAAAGATTCGAAGCCAACTGGGTCAATGCGAGAAGCATAATTACACGACTTAATCTAAGCCATGCCTAAATAAGTCACGAATTGATTCAAAGCTAACCGAGTTGATGCAAGAAGAATATGACTATTATTTGAAAAGTGTAAGTTAGGAAAATGGCATAGGCATTGTTGCTTGATAATAAGTAGAAAAAAGTTGGATGAAGTGTAAAATTAGATCGCAAAAAATGTATTTAAACAGTGCTTTTTTGACCTCAAATAAAACTTCAAGCGTAATCTTTTTGCTTACCAGTTTAGTCAAACTTTTAAAATGTCTATTGCAAATATATGTATTTCACAAGGTTCAAAAATATTATATGGATAGTATATTCATCCAATTCCTTATGAAATGTCAGTAAAAGAATTTTTTCAAAAACTCATTCAAGAAATATCAGTACCAAACTTAGATTTTGAACAAGTTAAATCTATCGAAATAAGTAAACTAGCGAATTCAGCAGAAGTTACACTACAAGCCCTGATTGTAATGTTATCAAACTTACCAATATATTTGGAACAAATATCCACTATCGTTTGCATAAGGAAGTAGTATCTTATAATTACCAAAACAGTTTAGATATTCTTATGCAAACAGCAAGACGAAATAATAATAAATTGTATGTTCCTAATTTCGTATGTTCAGAAAAGCCCAATCATAAACAAACATTGAGATTAGATATAATCAACTGGATCAAATCTCGTGGTAGCGGCTGGTCAACGCAAACATACACAGATAATCAGAAAAAACAGTTTATTACTGCCTTATCCAAAATGCTTTGGTACATAGACATACACGATTATAAAAAATTAGAAGATAGAAGCTTTCATATCCCTTGTCTATTTTATGAGTTTTTAGACTGTGCAAATCCAGAATCATATAAAGAAGCTAGGAAGCCATTTGTCACAAATGAACTCAACCTCCATTGTCAAGCACTTGCGCCATATTCTTCTTCTTTATAAATATGGTCAACAACTTTTACCTGGTTATACAAAGAATTTGAAGAGTTAATTGTTGTAGTTTCTAATTATGTAAAATATTTACAACAGCAACAAAAAGTAATTGCAAGTAATCTTGCGAGCGAAGTTTTTGTCCGAAGCGTTGAGAAAGCCACATCATTAAAAATCCATGAAGCCAATAATTAGATAAAGCCATATCATTAAACACGATATCAAAAGCTTAAAAATACTTTACAAAAATTTCAACTCTGGAGGCCATTTGATATAGAAGAATATTTGCTGTCAGATCCAATGTAAATATATAATTAAATACATATGTTATATCATATATATTACTTAACTTACTATTTTACTTAATTCTAGGCAACGATTATGGTTTATACAAGGTCTTTCACAAGCATCTACATTTAAAATCAGTGAATATCAATATAATTCGGGTAATAATGCATACAATGCTATTTCAATCTGGAAAATTGAAGAAAATGTTGAAGAAACCAAAATGTTACAAGAAAATGCACGTATTGTAAAAGAACTACAGAATAATGCACCCCAATACTATACTCGTGCTATGAGAATCAATTTTTTTTGCACTTGTGAGCTCCTATTGCCAAAAGTAAAATTGGCTCCATTATGAATGATATATAGAATGCTATCAGGTGATACATCAGCTGCTGAGTCTGTTAATGAAGCAAAAGTTTATGCTCGTGTATTGCTTACCTTAAAGTTAGGTGATTCTGATGTTACTATTGACTTGCATGACCATAACAAAGGAAGTCCAGAAAAATATAAAGTTTTTTGAGATGTGGCAGCAAATTTTCTTGCAGAAAAGGCTGCAGACCTTATCACTGCAGTTGATGAATGTTGCCATGATCAGATTGTACATCTCGCAACAGCCATTTCAGTAAATAATTTGCACCAACAAATTGAACATGAATGTCTACCTAACACACCAATTCCCAGTGAACAATGGTTAAGGTTATAATTTTGGCCTAAAAATCCAATATTTAAAAATAGTTTACAATATATAGGTCACTTACCTCTAAAATTTATAATACAAGCCTGGCAATTACGTGCAGACTATTCAGATGCTCACTATGCTTCAGCATTGTTTCGATATGAGAAAGAGTTTTCTGTTAAGTTTCGTGATATTACGATGCTTGTGTTTCTTGATGACAAACATTGATGCAAAATTGGAGAACCCAGACACCCTGTGGCAGCAGTAGAAAGAGGCAAGCAAGTGATTGTTGGAAAAGACACAACATTCGCAGTAAATGATCATGATTACACCAAAACTAGAATAATTCCGAGTGTTATAATGATATGTGATATCCCAAAAATAACCAGTGGTGATTTCTATACAGGTAAGGTAAAAATATGATTAAAAGATCCAATATTCCAACCCTCTTCTTCTTTGCGGCACATGACGGAGCTCTATAGCGCTCTTTTAACAAATAAAATGAATAAACCGGTACTGTGTCTTTACACAGATGGTGGTCCTGATTACAGATGCACGTTCATAAGGATTTAATTATCATATATTTGTTTATTCTTGGAATTGGATCTTGATTATTTTGTGGCAGTAAGGACATCACCTTCTCATTCATGGAAGAACCCAGTTGAACATGTAATGTCAATACTTAATCTCGGATTGCAAAGTATTGGATTGATGCGCTCCAAGATGGATAACAATTATGAAAAGCTCCTTAGTAAAGTAAATTCAATGAAAGAAATTAGGGATATTGTGGAATCGAATTCTATCTTTAAAGACAAACTCTTGGAAAGTATCCAAGAACCTATTTATCTTATTCGTAAGGTATTCGAAAGACAGTTTTTAAAAGATGAGCCATTTGAAACATTTAGCACTGCGACAGATGAGGAAATAGAAAATTTTTGGAAAACAATTTACCTGGTTGATGATACTGTGACCCATGATGTTAGTACAATGGAACATGTAAAGCAAAGAGTAAGTAATCAGTATACAAATCAATGCTAACATGCAAATAAAACATAAACTAATAGGTTGTTTTTTTTCTTTTTCTTAAAAGCCACTCTTAAAAAAATTTTATGATCATTGTGTGTAATGTGCCATTATTCCTTTACAATCAAGAAATGCAAAAAAGATAATTGCACTATTTGCAGGCCTCCTTGATGTTCACACGAGATATTCGACCAGCTTCATTCCCTTCCAGATCCAATTCCAGGAAATGATCTGCACTATAAGTCTTTCGAAGAATTATATGGAAGTGAAACAACTGAACAATATAGACCCTCTCGCCACGAATCAAAATCAAATGTTAAAAAACATAAGAAGCATACAATGCCTTTTTGCCCTTCTGCATTTCATGCTAAGAATGTTGGGATTACTATCACTTGTGTGAATTGTGATAAACCATGACTTTTATTTAGTTCAAGAAAGTTATCAGATAAGGATCGCAAAATGCTTTATCAATTTCTGGAGACGATCTTATATTCATGTGGAACAATATTTAAGGATACTAGTGAACTAATGTCAGCAACACCATTAGAATCACTTGATGAGCATAGTGAAGAAGATGATGAGAGCAACAATGATGGTGACAATGATTATAACGATAAAGGTGATGATAATTTTAATAATGAGTATGAACATAATGTTGATCTCGATGAAAATGAAGATGATCAAACTGACCAAGACAATGTCAATCATGGTAATACCGAATTCAGAGATCTCACTGATAACAGTACAAAAAATATTAAAGATCCTGTCTAGGAACTATTTACTCGAGTCTTTGTAAATGATTCCTTAATATGCTCCTCTCCAATAGAAAAGCCGTATTACTTGGCAAAAATTTACCCCATTATATGTTATCTGTGTGGTAGTCCTAGTGTTTCTAATGAGAAAGTGACTTCAAGAAATATGCGACCAGTTTGTAATAAATGTGTCGGAATGGATGATTCAAAAAAATGTTATGGTCAGAAACCAGCCAGAGAAAGTAATGCTAAAAAATCCTGTACCTAAGTTTATCTCAAACCATAATACTTTCATTAGTATATAGTTGTAAAATTCATTTAAAGCAAACTTTTTAAATAAATTTATTGCTTTCCTATTCGCTAAAGCTATCAATGTCAATGTTACACATGATGTAGTTAATTATTAATAAAATTATTTTGAGTTTACTCTAAAATGTATGTTATCCTCACCCCATCGTTCACATAGGGTAATCAGTTAAATTGAAATAATTTATATGTACTTCAAGTGTGATGGATATAATCCCTTACTCAGTGTAAAATTAACGATTCCTCTGTTAACAACCCTCAAAAATGGTAGCTGAACAGATCTGCCAGGTACATGTTATTATGTAATTCGGATTTGATAGACAATTCAATTACTAATCAAAAAATGTCCTTAGCATATTTATAAATTGTTATCAAACAATAAATATGGTCTCTAAGTTTTTCATAAGAATTTTTTTAATGAATAACATGAATCACTTAAAATTTTATTGTTTATACTTTTTTTTTGGTTATATTTATAGTCAAATTCAATTTTTTTATGTACAAGCATTTGTTTTTTATTTCTATTTGGTAATGATAATGAATTTTACAAGTACACAGTGGTAATGATAGTGAATTTTACAAGTACACCAACTTTGTTTGATTTGTAGTCAAAATTGCCAATAATTAAATCTAAATTACATAATAACATGTACCTGACAAATCTGTCTGGCTACCATTTTTTGAGGGCGGTGCTAGGGTCATTTTCTCCTGTTACCTATATTATGTGATAATAGATCAACTAATCACGATGCAATAAGTAATTGTAATATCTTATTGCTGATTCTGATTGGCTGATTCTTTGCTGCGCCTCAATAAATTTTAATTTTCTAACTTGGTTTTATAGACCCGGCCAGGTTATGAGAACCAAAAAATTAACTTTGTGTGGCCTAATATAATTATTTATTTTACTAATAAATAGTATTATTAATATTATTATATATAATAAACAAATAAAATTATTATAG